TTGTTCCTTTAGACGTTTCGGAACACTTCTCTGCATTGTCTCCTTTTTTTCCTAGGATATCTGTGAGAAGTTGGGTGGACAGGATGGGTGATATCTCATTTTATGTAAGAGGGAGCAGCGGCAGCCCAGAGAAAGTCTGTGACCTGCCAAAGGTTCCACCAGTGTAGCAGTGGAATCGGGCCCGGAAGCTCAGTCTTCTAGCTCCTGGTCCAGGGCACTTATGTCTCACCACCCTGCATAACAGTCTTATCAAAAAGATGAGGAGGAGGGGCTGGCCCCGTGGCCGAGTGGTTGGGTTCGCGCGCTCTGCTGCAGGCGGCCCAGTGTTTCGTTGGTTCGAATCCTGGGCACGGACATGGCACTGCTCATCGAACCACGCTGGGGCAGCGTCCCATATGCCACAACTAGAAGGACCCACAACGAAGAATATACAACAATGTACCGGGGGGCTTTGGGGAGAAAAAGGAAAAAATAAAAAAAATCTTAAAAAAAAAAAAGGATAAGGAGGAGATTAGGGGTCGTACCTGGTGCCATAGTTTATAATATACTATTGTATTTAACCCATAGAAAACCCTGTCAAGTAACAGGGGTGAGTTTTGTTATCTACCTGTTATGTGAGGCCACTGACAATCTGATGTATTTTACATTACCCAGGGTCACACACCCATTAAGTATCAGAGGCGAGTCTGGGACCTAGGTTTTCAAACTCCTTTTATTATACCATGCTGCCTTATTATACGACATGGCAGTTGATGTCATTAATACCCAAACATTAAAAAATAAATTGAAAAAGAAATAACCACTCCTGTCCTGGTTCCAGCCCCTGGCAGTGATTTTTAAGTGGAGGTTTGTGTTATGAGAATTTTTGCTTTCAAAATGCTGCATGCACCTCCTGTAAAAGGTTGAATTAAATGATTTTATTTTTGGTAAGTGGCCCATGTAAGTTTATTATTTATTTATCTTGGTTCTTTTTGCTTCAGCTCTTTTGGCTAAATGAAGCCCTGCTGTATTTTTATTGCATACCCCATCGTTAAAAGAAATTGAAAAGACGCTTGTTAGTTTTAATATTGCATGGGTGGAAATATATCTGGCACTTTTAGGAACAGTTACAATTCCTAACAGTGCATTTTCAGAAGTAGTCTGGTTTTGTTCTGGATTGCAAAAAAAGAGAAACCTTTCTTAAATTTGCTATAATTCGATAATCATCTTTCGTTGAGGAGAAGTCTCTGCTTAGTGTGACGCTGATTTTATTGGCTCATTCAGCATTCCTTTCCAGCCTTGGGAGGGGAGTATGCTCTGGGGCAGCATGAAGGGCCTTTCATTTGTTGGTAAATAATCCCAGCAAAGCTGCTTCCAAGCACAAGTTTTCCCCCTTTCTCTATAAACCATATGCTGCTTTAACTATTGGACATATGCCCCTCTCAATAAACTCTGTACGGCTTTAACTGTTGGACCTATTGTGGAGTTGAACACAAACCAAATACTCGGGCTGCCTCTTGCCTCTTAGCCTGCAACGCAGTCCCTGAGAAGACAGTGTGAAGTGTTCCTTTGCAAAATAGCTATTCAGAACGTGGAGGCACTGTGGCAAGAGAACAGGTTGCGCCGGAGGGAAGGGCTTGGGAGAAATACGGTGACAAGGAAGTAATTCAGCCTGAGCACGAGAGCTGTCACTTGCCCTGCGAGATCCTAACCGTGTCCAAGTTCCAAACTGGGCAGAGTTAGAAATTCAGAGAAGTTTCTGAATCACATTTCACAATTCTGGTTTGAAGTTAACAAGTTCGTTTGATTACAGTCTGAAGTATCCTTCCTGATAACCTTTATGGGAAGAGGAAGAATAATTTTAACAGCGAAGATGATCTTCACAAGTACATATAGAAAAACGGCAAGCAAATCAGTGTTCTGCGTGCTTTCAGACCCTTGGCAGTAGGCTCTTTGCAGAAGTTACTAGTCAGTCATAATAGAGGAGAAAGTTGTGTTCATCTGGCCACATACCTGACACATGACTTGAAGCAGGTTGCTTCAACTTGTTGAGCCTCGAGATATTTACCTGAATAACTGGGGTGATCATCATGCAGACCTGATAGGCCTGTGGGCATTCCATGGCATGAATGCGCACAGAGCACTTAACATTTAGCGCTCATTTTCTAAGTGCTCCATAAATGTGAGCAGCAGTCCTGGTGGTGCTGAATCTTTTTGTAATGCACTTTCCCTTTTATGCCTTTCGGGGGGTGGCCTGCTGAAAGCTGGGTTCCCAGGCTTGGTGGGGAAGGAGGTCTGGGCATTTTTGGTACTTATTTAGAAGGTGCTTATGCGTAGATACAAAATAATTAAAATCATCATATAATTTTATATAAGCAATTTCTTGAAACTTCAATAAAGCCTTATATTAAGATATTATTAATATGTGTAAAAATAGCCTACCAGGCACTTATAGTTTTAGGGGGTAGAATAAATAGTTTAAAACAAGACTTCAGGAGATAAATTTGTGGGGTAATTTTTCAATTTATGTGTACGCGATTTGAAATTCTCTAGAGAATTATTGTAAAGGTCATACTTACGATAGAATTAAACATAAAAGTAAAATAAATCAACTTTTTCCACCCTCTAAAATGGTTGCGAAATACAGAAACATAAAAAATAATCCATAGAAATATTTTCATGCTATTTTGGTGCATTTCTGAAAGGTTTTTTTTTGAATTTTGGAATTTTGTATGGAAATAATTGTATATTTTTCTTCCTCTCACCTTCCCTGCCTCCAAAAATTTGGATCCTTAAAAAGTTTGGAGGCATGGTAGCCTAGGAGGGAAGTGAGTGGGCTCTTGATTCTAATTGACGCTCTGCCACTCTCTAGCTGTTTTCTTGGACAAGTCTGACTCAGTTTTTGTATCTATATAATGAGGAACATAATAAGTCTTACCTCATAGGGCTGGCATGTGAGGCCTTAGAACAGACCTGGCACTCAGTGAGGTTCTTTCCTGTGTTCATTAAAATCTTCGAGTGCACTGTATTTAATGATGTAATATTCCATTGTATCGTAAGATAATGGACATCTATTTTAACTTGTTTCCCTTATTATAAATAACACTGTGATGGACATCCTTGCCTATCAATCATTATCTTCTTTGCTAATTTGTTTCCTTAAGATACATCCTGGTAGAGGGACCCACAACTAAAATATACAACTCTGTAATGGGGTCGGCGTTGGGGGAGATTTGGGGAGAAAAACCAGAAAAAAAGAAAAGATTGGCAACAGTTGTTAGATCAGGTGCCAATCTTTAAAAAAGGAAGAAAAAAAAGGATACATCCTGGAAGTGGAATCATTTGATACACCTGTCCCATTAGGGATTTTAATAGTGTGAGAGTGTTTCTTTGTGTCCTCCCTAACACTCAGTGTTATGGCTTTTACAGTTTCACTGTAATGTTCCTAATTGTTTTCTGCGTGCAAGCTTTATATCAAAAGTGTGTATACCTCTAGCATAGTAGCTACCTCCAGAGTGGCCAGATCCAGTCTGCTACCTGTCTGCCCACGAGCTAAGGATGGTTCTTTACATTTTTAAATGTCATGTGAAATTCAAAATTTCAGTGTCCGTAAAGAAAGTTTGATTGGAACACAGCCTTGCTCCTTGGTTTGCATCCTGTCTCTGGTGGCTTTCCACTTAGAGCAGCAGAGTTGGTTGCTTGCAAAGTTTGGACCTATGCTTTAGGGCGTTGACCAAAGTTCACATTCAAACTTATTTTATATTTCTTGTCACTGAGTTAGGGAGGTCCAACAGCCAGATATTGAAGTGTGGGCTTCAATGTCCGACTGCCCAGGCTCCGGGCTCTGCCCACGAGCCAGCTGTGTGACCAGGGTAAGCATCCTCGCTCCTCGGTGCCGTGGTTTTCTCGTCTGGCAAATGAGCATCATGAAGTGTGTTTCTGATCAAGTTACAGCAAAGAGTAAGTGAGACAGGTGAAGCCCTTCCTACTCATAGTAAGTCAGTGTTAGCTGTCATTAATTGGTCCATGGTTAATAGACTTGAGTTGGCAAGCTTTTGAAAAAAGAGATTGGTAGGAAGAATGAGTGAGACTAAAATTACTTGTGTTTTAGAAAGGTAGGTGAATTTGGTCTTTGTTTCTTTTATCGCTTGAACTGGGACTTCTTGAAAATAAAAATATATTCCCTTGGCGTTACGTTCCCCTAAATGGGCTTGGAAAGCTGGAACAAGGCCCGAAGAAGGGTCTGGCTTGTGTCCTGGTTCCCAGGCTCACTGCAGCGGAGCGTGGGTTGGTTGGTGTCTGCCCGGTCCAGTTGGCCAGAGAAGAGGAGAGCAGTGGGGGACCACAGTATCCTGTCTTGGCTGTGACCATGAAGATGGGCTTCGAGGGGCATTAGGGTGTGTGGCCCTTCCTGCTTCACTCCTGACAGTACCTAGGCCATTACCTGCAAGTGTTTTATGAAGTTGCAGACTTTTGTGGCTAAGTATCTGGAAGCAGGCTGCTGAGGCACACTCATGCCTCACAGATGGTCCAGTTGTGAAGAATCAATGTGGTATTTTCATTTGGGTTTCTCAAGTGCACATTTCATAGCTGAGGTCAAAGTGGGCTGTGGCTAGAGGGAGCTTCTGCTGGAGAATCTGACCGGGGCTGGGCGGGCAGCACCTGGCCTGGCCCGGAGGCTGAGTCAGCAGAGGAGAGCCCTGCTCCGGACCCTGATCTGTCATGGTGGGGGCGGAGCCTCCGGCTCATTTCGGTGCAATCATGATATTCTCTTGATATTTAAATAGACTCTCCAGGAGAGTCTGATCTCTGCAATGGAGTAAGCATGGTCTGTAAAATTTTATTAAAACTATAATACGGCCATATGCTCGGGTTTTCTCATTACGCAGTCTTCTGAAAACAAAAACCGTGCAACATAAACACACCAGATGAAGCCAGTTAAGTTTGTGTTCACTCCTGCAATTTAAAAAATGGTAGAGAGGTTAGGAAATGGGACTTTGATGTTGGGGGGGAGGGGTGCCAATGGGGACCACCATTTGTTAATGCTGCCAGAAGAAGCTGTTCCAAACAGATTTATTCCTGTGTTCCTTTAAAGCAAGAGCAGGCTCTGAGTCCTCCTGCCAGACGGGCTGGGGTAGATGTCCAGAGAGATAGGATCGGTCCCATGGGAGGATGCAACGGAGGATGCAGTGGAGGATGCAGTGGACGGCAGCAGCCTGGACACTGGCCTTGTGAACGGGCATTTCATTGTTCCATTAAACTGTTGATTGTGGATCTCTGTATGGAATCTTAACTGCTCGGGTCTGTATGAGCAAAGTAAGAAAGAGAGACTCTTCATTCTTTAGTTATGAAAGACTGAACCCAAGTTCTCAAGGAAATCTCTAATACCTAAATGTTCGTGAGACTGTTACTCACAGATAGGCATAAATGCGCTATTAAGCGGTAGAAAAAAAATTTTGGCCCTCCTGAGAATTTATTGTACTGCCTTTGATGTCACTAATTAACTCACTCTTGTGTAAGCTGCGACTAGCAACTAATAGCGGGCTAATAGAAGCTTCGTGACATTTTAGAATTCTTAATTCAAGGAAGGGTCTTCGCAGGCTCCTGGAAAACGAGGAAGATCTCCTCCTCTCTTTTACAGGAGAGCCTGCAGGGGCCCTCGGGGGCCTGTCGCATCTGTGCTTTGTCTTCCCTGGTTCACAGGCAGCTTTTGGCTAGTGCTTTCTTTCTGGAACTTTGAAAGTTGGTTAGGACGGTGCTTTGCGCTTGGACTTAAATGCCCTGGCGTGTTGGGTCATGTTCCGCCAAATCCCAGTGGCTCTTTGCTGTCTGTGGCCTTAATGCCCAGAAGCATCCTCCCAGGGGCCTGCAGGGTTGTAGACCTCTGACTTGTGAGGGTTCAAGAGGCAGAAGGAAAGTGAGCGGAAACTTTCTAGGCCACAGGGCATGCCTGGTTAGGCTTCAGACAAGCTGATAGTGTTCTCAGCTCCTGATTCCCCAGATTGGCATGGAGTCCTCATTGTATTATCTTTAAAAAAAAAAAAAGGCAGGAGGCTGCTTGCTCTTCATCCATCAGAGCTCTCCGCTGCAGTGCGGGTAACAGCATTTCGGCTTTTCCGTTTTTGTTTATCTGAATTCTCATCGTGCTTTCTCTACCTACTCTCTTCTATCCCAGGAACCTCTTTTGAAGTTGAATGGAGCTCTGTATGCTGACAACTGGGGAGTGAGGTGAGAAATTAGCCCTGAGTTGAGCACTCACCTGTTCTTTGGAGCCAATAGTTTCTGCTGAAGGGCCGGTGGGATGTTAGTCAGTGTGGACTGTGTTTTGTTCGTTGGCAAAAAGAACTCTAGAAATGTTAAAACAATTAAGAGGCTCCTACAGCTCTGATGGAGGGCATGTTCAACTTTCTCTCCTTTCACCTGGGGACCTCCTAGTGATGAAAAGAAGAGAGAGCTCCCCTGTACTCTTGGAGGAAGGGTTGCCACTTGAATTTCTCCAAAGCTTCAAATCCTCCTGCAGCCGTCTCGTGTTGCAGGCCCTGCAGTGCGCTTTAGAGCTGGCAGACAAAGCGGACACAGGCTCTCTCCAGATCCATCTGGGCCACTCCTTCTGTCATCAGTCATTGTCAACGGGAGATGTATGTGTAGCCGCACAAGGGCGATGTCTGACCCCAAGGGCATTGGAAATGTTCTTAGAGGAGGCATTGTTTGCTCGCTCCCTTTGGAAGCCAAGCTCCAGACGTTGTAGGGAGCAGCCCCTGATTTAGGCATAACTTGCTATCTGGGTGGAAAGAGGCAAGATTCTGCTTCTGAAAACTACAGGAACTTTATTCCCCCTTCCCAGCGCGATTCTGCATGGCTTATGAATACACTTAGCCTCTCTTCTTTTTCATTTCTGATCTCTCCTTGGTCAAAGTCGTGGGGAGAATTCTGAAACAGGGAGGCGAGGCCTTGGGTTCCAATGGTTTTTATTCAAAGAACATCAAAATGTAAATAACCAAAGAAATAAAAGCAGACAAGGTGCGACAAACGCATAATAGGAAAAAATGAAATAATGCTCCTTCAAAACACAGCGAGGCAATTTCTTGGGAGGAAAGTGGAAAACGATGCTCTGCTTCTTGCTCAGAACAGGAAAGGGGGGCCCCAGGCTCGTGGAAGCACATTAGAAACTGCAGTAACACAAGAGCCTTGACTGGGCCTCAGCGTGCGACAGAGTAGGGGTGCTGTCCTGTGTAGGGCTTGTGTGTGTCTTCGCGCCGGTGCCAGTGGGATGCTCCATGGACCCAGACCTGGAGGTTGGATGTCTCACTATATGTTTTTCCTTTGGGTCCCCTGGGAGCTTCCCAGGAGTGGGTTTATGTCGATAAAAACTTAATGGGGGAGTATCGGAGTTTTGAAAATGTCTGTGCGTAAAAATCTACTTACTTTTTCCCCTCTTTTATTGGTGGTAGTGGTGGTGGAGGCCGGGGGCGCATACAAACTCCAGGTGTCATTTGCAAACCTGCCCAGCAACAGACGTCTTGTCCTGTTAACAGGGCGCTGTGGCTCCAGTAAGGCGTTGGAGTTCTTGCATCACTGGCTTGCCAGGCACATGGCTGCCTGTGTCTGATCTGGAAACCGGACCTCGCACCTTGTCCTGCTGCAGGATTGGGTTGTCGTGGGGATTGAGTGACATGGTGGAAATGATAAAGCGTTCTATGGAGGGAAAGGATGATTTCTTAAGGAAAGGGGCCATGTTTGCTGGTGAGGGCTCAGCACGAGTCATCTGCATATTGATTGAGGCTCAGACCTGTGTTTTAATCCATTTGAAGATGACTTTATTATATCATTCAGTATGGAAATGATGAGGTTTCACAAACTCAGACCCTCTTAAACATGAAAATATTATTTTCTTATTAGAATCCTGTTCGGCTGGAAATCTGAGTATCCAGTTTTCCCCCCCTCCCCCTCACATTTTGTTGCCTCCTCCCCGCCCCCCATCCAACCTTCATTTTGGCTCACCGAAATCTGAGTGCCACTTTTCTGGGAAAGCCTGATATTCTGACTTCAGTTTTGTAATTTAATGATGGAGAGTTTCCTTAGTAAACCAAATTTAGAGTCCTAGAATGCTTATCTTATATCCAGACCTTGAACATAAAAGGCATTTTATACCCGCAATTGTTCATTTAATGAGCAATTGCAGAGTGCGGGCCGGTTAAGGGATTGAGCTATATGCACTATTATTGCAAGAAGTATTCCGAAATACCAGAAATAGGACGTAAGCTCTGATCAGGGAGACTGCGAGCACAATTACCTTCTTTTCAAATCCTTCTGTGACACTGCGGGAGGAAAAAGGACTTTGAAACTTGAAAGGAAAGAGCTTGCTTTCAACCTCAAAAGCTAGGAGGAAAGGGCTCTGAAATTTGCTCAGAATTCCCAATTCACCATTAGCCTGTTTCTTCCTTTAGCCTCAAGGCATTCTCCGCTTTTTGAAAAGATGTTAAGAAATTCAGTCACAATAGAGAGCCTAGTTTTGAACATGTTTCACTCGGTCCATTGAGGTCTGGGCTCCAGCCTTTGTGTGGGGTGAATTGAGCTGAGCGGCTAGCTGGTTGGAGAGAGGTGAATGAGGAGTCGCTGTGCAGTCGCAAATTCTGGCAAAGAAAGACGCTCCCCCTGCCTTTATGTTACAATATGCATTCCTGTACAACCCTGCTAGTGGCAATATGTGGAGTTGAGCCTGTTCTTAAGTCAATACAGAGTACTTGGTTTATGGCAACTCTTGTTAAGTTTGTCTTGTAATTGAAGCTGCTGTTGACCTTGCTTGGAGACCATTTGTAAAACCGTTTATTTAGCATAAACTGAAATAATAAACCCTCCTTCTCTCGGGCTGATTGTGATAGGGTGACATTAGTTTGATTTAATGATTAGCCGCCTGACCCTTCTGCTGGAGAGAGCGGCTTGAATAGAGAGTTCACTGGGAAGCACTCAGAAAGAATACTAATGAGCTTGTTAAATTTAGCATGGCTCCAACCACTTTTAATTCCTCTAATGGGAGCAGCACTGCCTGGGAGAGGGAGAGGAGGCAGGGAGACACCGAGAATGTTCCTAGAGGGTCTGCTCAGCTAGAGAAAGCCCACCGAGAGAAGTTTGCAGAAAGTAGCTAGCCAGAGCCTGGGGACTGAGTTGTAAGTATTGTCCGTTCTCTTACACTCTGTGTCTTCTGCGTCTCGGGGCAAGAGAGGAGTAATGGTGTTAAAATGGGATTTAAGGGAACAGTTTAAAATCGATGTTAATTAAGAAAAGGTGAACACGTACGCTGTGGGCTCCTAACCAGCTAATTTTGTTAGAGTGACAGGAGGTGTTCCTAGATGGTGATGCATTGCAGGGGTTTATTTTTTATACTGGAAGAATCGTGTGAAACTTTTAGCTCAAGTCCTAGGCGGAAAAGCTCTTGTTTGTTTGGTTGCGGCGAGAAATTGTACAGCAGTTTGTGAGCAGATGCACGAGAGTGTGTGTTCGAGTCCTGCGTCACGCAACACAATTACTTTCTTTCAGTCCTTCCTCTGTAGTCCAGGCAGAGTTTGCAATGAGGCGACTTTGGAGTTTTCAGAGTTGGTGGTGCTAAGAGTGTCCGACTCGATGTCAGTTTGCTTTTGGATCGGTCTGGAAAATCTGGGACACTTTCTAAACTGTGATGTTTGGGCAGCTCTCCCTTTGGGGGCAGGAATTCATTCACTTCCACTTGAGCGTGGCTATCCAGAAGGAAGGAGGTCCAAAGTGGGATTATGATGACAGTATTTAAAGTAATTTTCCCTGCAACTTTTTTGTGAATTGCATGTTTCGGTTTCCCCCCTGAGCTTGCAGCTGTTAAGCAGAGAAGCACGAACAGTTGCCCTGTGTTTGGCTGTTACAGTCCATTGGCAGATGCTCCTGGACCAGTGGGCTGTTTGCTTACATTTCTGCAGCAGACTTCTGCTTGTTGCCATGGTGGACAGTATGTTTCTGTCAATAATTTGGCCTGGCGGAGCCTGTCTGCACTGACTCTCAAACTTTATTGAACAGCTCGGCTCAGCTGAACAAGATGAGACAGCTTTCGTCTTTTGGCTTGCTGAAGTGGTTGCTGAATTTATAAGAGCAGGCAGGAATATTGCTTGGATAGTTTCCCCTTCACTGTAGAGGGTGCTTTCAAGCCCCGTGGCTGTTTGTATTCGGGAGCATGTGTACTGTCAAGTTTTCATCTGAATGCCCATCCAAAGCAACTCGGTACCCAAGGAAAACTTCCTTGAAATACGCGTCTGCTGGCATTTTTTTGCAGGGGGAGGGCAGGTAACAATGTGGCAGCATCCACGATTGTAAGTCGGTCTCCTGATGCAAGTTTCCACGTTAAAAAAAATTCTTGCCTGCATTTAACTTTTCGAAGGGAAGGAGTTAATTTTTTCTGTGTTAAATTTTTGAACTTTGCTTATTTCCTGTGATAACTTTCGTATTCACATATGTTGGGTTGACGCTCATTAAGAAAATAATTTAATTAAAAAATGAAATAGAAAATTTAAAAGTTTAATACTTTAAAAAAAAAAATCATTTGCTAAAAAATGCGCCCCCGTTTCCACCCACCCGTCCACCTACTGCTGCCTTCTCCCAGGAGGTTGGGGGGAGCATGAGGACTCTGGCCAGACCATGCCAATTATTCAATTATTCGTGAAGTTGGATTCATAAAGTCATCGCTTCCAAGAAACTCACTCTATTACAGGGATGCAGTTTTAAGAGAAGAAAAGTTAATTTCTTCTAGGAAGATTAAGCCAAGGGAATCCTGTTTCAAACCTGGAACAGATTAGTAGAGCTTGGTTATTCATGTTTCCCAGAGAATGCTAATGAGGTGTCACAGCCCCTCTTGGTAAGGGCTTTCTGACTTTCCACAGGAAGGTCCCTTCGACAGAATTTGCAGCTCAACTCCACAAGTTCACTTCAGGTTGAAATTTGAAATAAAGGCGCAAATTAGTGGAAAGTATGACTTTGGCTATTTGTAGGTTATAGGAATTTTTATAAAACCAACTAAGAGTTTCAGTGTTTTTGACACTCTTTTGCTTGTACCTAGCTGCAAACCCTTATTCTGTATAGCCTGCAACTTTACTGCTAATGAAGTACAAGGGTGGACTGGTGCCTGTGAGTTTAGTCAGAAGGAAACATAAAAATGTAGGATTTTTTTTTATAGTTGGTTTTAAATGAGCAAAAGCATGGTTTGAATTGCTTTTCTGAAGATCAATGTGTGAAAATGTAGGATTACACCAATTTTTTTCTTTTAGTAGTTTCTTGACAGATTAAACTCATAATTTATGCCATAATTATAAGGTTTGGAGGTGATCTGCACAAAACAACGCTGAAATAGTGTTTCACAGTTGCCTTGTAGTAGTCAGCAAATTCACTGTAAAGACCAAAACATACCTCATTGTCTGTTCTGTTTTGCAAGGCATTTGGTAGGCTGAAAAAAATATGTTGCTTATTTCTTCAAGTCCCAGACATAGGCTGAGGGACGAAAGTTGCTGCTGGTTTTACGTCGTTCAAGTCATTAGTCAACACAAAACAGGAGTCTTACTTTAGTTGGTATTTTCACGCTCGTCCATGTTTATAATTATACTTCCTTCTGAATTTGTGCAAAGAGCTATGAAACAGCTAAAGAACACTTTTTCTGTTTATTAGGGGCTCACAGCCAGTCATATCTGCTTTATGGAACACTTTGAAGATAAATTTGTGTATTGGGATAAGATGTGTTCAAAATCTGTCCATCTAAAATGTACAACAATATTATTCTTTATGCTCAAATATCGGGCTTTTTTTTTTTTTTTTGAGGATCAGGAATGAGAAACAGTTTTCAAATTAAATGTCTAAGCTTTGTTTCCATCAGCACTTACCTGCCAGCACACGATCTGCTGATTAGAGGCAGAGCTTGTCTGGGCGTTTGCGTTGAGAGTATGGGTATGATTCCAACAGATGAGTTGGTCCACTTGTCGTGGGTTCAGATCGCCAGTTTGGTTTAATTTTATGCATGGGTTCTTGGATCTCCTAGTATAGAAAGGTCATCCAATCACATTTGCAGAGAACCATGGTAGAAAGATGGGAAGTTCCTACAGATCAAAGGGAACAGAAGTATTAGGGGGCTGGAATATCAGATACATGTGGAAATTCATCAAGCTGTTTCTTACATGTCTGAAGAACTGTCTGGACCTCACCAGAGCAGGTACATATATCAGCGTAACTGATGCCTTGCTCACTCCCATGTGGTCTTCCAGTGTCCCCGCCAGTCTCCTCTGAGTTCTCAGCTCTGGTTGTCTGGGCTGAAGCAGGGGCACTGTAGGTTTCCATGATTGGCACCTTTATCCCTTGTAACTGGTGGGTTTTCTCTCTCCTTTCTGGCTCTGTTAAATCTCTCATTGGGTTACGAATATGACTTAAAAACCCCAAAACATGAAAACTTTGGGATCCCTTTCTAACAGGTCATCCTCTGAGGAACAGAGGCCCCTTCGCTCCCTGGATCGCCCAAAGACCCAGCTTCCTCAGCCAGACAAGGGAAGCTGGACATCCACAGCTTTAGGTTGGCAAAACTTCCAGCTCCACGTGGGACCTGCGGGGATATTGGCAAGTCCCTGATGAAAAGCCTCAGTGGCAGACACAGCTGGAAGCTTGTGATGATAACTTGCTGACCCCCTACCTACATCTCAATTTAATAGGCTCGTTTCCTGCTCCTCATCATCCTTCGATTTGTATTTCGGACCCTCATTCATGAGCAGTTTTGTCTGGAGAATATCCCCTCGTGGCATAGCTTTCTAAGTTGCCAAGAATGAAAAATAGGCTTCTTTTTGGGAGGAGGGACAGAGAGGAGACCTAATTGATTACTGTTTTGTAATTGCTCCTTAAAGTGGCTGACAGAGTCTTTCATTTTCATTCTTTCTGCAGAGGATGAAAGTCCTGGACAGACCTATCACAGAGAGAGAAGAAACGCAGTCACTATGCAGCCACAGAATGTCCAGGGGCTTGGCAAGATCAGTGAGGAGCCTTCAACGTCTAGTGACGAGAGGGCCTCGCTGATCAAGAAGGAGATCCATGGGTCCCTGCCTCACCTGGCCGAGCCCTCCGTACCCTACCGGGGGGCCGTGTTTGCCATGGACCCCAGGAACGGTTACATGGAGCCCCACTACCGTAAGTGGTTCCTGCCCCGTGGCACTGTGTGTGTGTGTGTGTGTGTGTGTTCGCGCGCGCGCATGTGCTTGGGTGAATTACTTGACTTTATTAATATTTGGTATTAATTTATGCAAATGTTTAATTTCTTCTCCACTTTTCTTCTTACTCCTCCTCCATCCTGTCCATTCTTCTTTTTAGGGAGAGCCATTTTCTTACATCTCGAAGCAAGTCAGCCCTCAGTGGGGCTGCCTTCAGGAAGGTGTCCATCTGTGGCTGATCCACATGGACCTTTCCTGGGGACTAGAACCAATTTGCTCCACCCAAGTAGATGCCACGGGAAAATCGGTTGATAGGGGAGTTATTTAAGTGGGCTGCATTAACAGAAGTCTTTCCTAGCAGCTAGTCCCATTTTTAATGATTTTTGCCTAATGGTTGAGGGGGAACAAATCTCTTTTAATGAATTGATGCTAAATTCCCTAATGCAGAAGAATTTTCTGCGTGTTCTACTTTCTTCTCTAACCAGCATACCGGAAACATCAGAAGCTCCTTTCCCAACACTAATAAAGTTTTGCAAATTAACTAGGATCCTGCACATAGGTATACGATGGTTTCCTCCGAAGGCAGAATATAAAGGAAAATATATAAGGGTTGGCTTTATTTCTGGCCTGTTTCTAGTTAAAAAATATAATTTGGTTGTGGAGTAATGAAGTTCATATTGAGGTGGCAAAGCCTACAGCTCTTGATTGCAGATTTATCACCTTGCCAGGATACAGACTGGCCGTTTAACCTCCGTGGCTCCAATTCCAGAGATCCATGGAGCCCCAGAGAGGGGACTGGTTTGTGTTTCCCTTTTTCCACATCATTCAGAAATTTTAGTGTTTTAAGGCAAAAGGTCATTAGCCAGATGACTGATTAGTGAGGACAGCTGATTAGTGCATGTTTTTTTGCTCCAGAAAGTGCCCAGGATAAAAGCTAATTTCATCCCTTCATTAGTTGGCTGGCAGCAAAGGGGGAATGTTCCCTCATCAGGGTGCAGATCAAAGAGTCTGGAACAACCTGAACTCTCAGCAACTGCTTTTCCCCCCCGACCAGATTATATTGTTGGTGAAGAAGGAAGATACGTTTTTTTTTTTAAGGGGAGAGAGTTTTCTTAAAGTGGTCAGAAGCACGGAGGAAAAGCCTTTCTGGATTCTTCTAAGCTTTTCGAAAAGGCTTCAACTTCTCTATTTAAAAAGGGCTTGTCAGTCCTATGGCTGCTGTTGTTTTTACAACCACAGAAATAAGGAGGAGGTGCCGCGTGCATGTTTCTTTCCTCCCCTCATTAAGGTCTATTTCGTTTTATTTTATTTTTCTTTTCTTGTAGGAATGAGAGTTTAAAATAGTGTTGGTAGGGTTTTTTCTCCATGCACATTCCTCAATTTTCTACACATTATTTTTATTTATGCGTCTCCGTTAGATATCATCCATGCAGGAAATGTGATGGAATCTCTATACTTTGTACGTATATTAATATTCCCTGATAATATGCTTACTTTTTAAAAAGAATCAAGTCCAGATTATTAGCCACAAGCTCCTGCGTTGTTTTCGTCTTTATGTGTGAACACCTACTTTCCCCGTCTCATATTTATGATTTGTTTTTTATTCCAGATGCCCACTAATTAGTGGGGTACTTAATTGGTCAGGACAGCTGGCAAGTACTTCTTTTTTGGCTGACGGAAGTAGGCAGATGACCGTTAACTTTCTCTCTATGCCATTCAACTTGCAGCTTGCTCTTGGTCCGTTTGTTCCAACGGTTTGCGCACTGAATCCTCTCCCCATCGTTTGAGGAGCTGGGCGCTCTGCACACCTGGGACCCTCGTCACCTCTTCAGCGGTCACTACTTGGGCCTCCCATGAGTATTAACTAGCACTGGGGCACTGGCGATCTCTTGGTGGGACGTGGAGCTCTTCGTTGTCACTTGCTTTAGAGGACATAGCACCAATAGGTTGGGTATTCTTCAGATTTTCCCGCTGAATTGTTCCAATCACTGTTAAAATTACATAACTTAGAAGCTATTTACATTGTCTATAACCAAATGGCAAATGCTATTTTGACCCACCATCCCAACGTACTTCCTAACTTGGTCCTAAATAAATGATTATCATTACATACATAATATGAACCAGGGGTCCGAGAGGTTACACAGATTGACTCAGGGCTCAGGGCATTTGGGTTCAAGTTTTAGCTTTGCCACATACTGGCTGTGTGACCTTGGCCAAGTGTGCTGACTCCTCTGAGAATCATTTGGGAAATGTCGAAGAGGGGTCATAAGAAGACTGCCTGCCCTATGGTGTTCTCGTGAGAAGTAAGTGAGACAGTGCAAACAAAATAAAGCATTCGGTGAAATCTCTGGCCCATGGCGAGTGCCTCCAAATTACTGTGGTTGTTGTTCTTCTCTGCCTCTCTTTCCTCCTCTTCGTGTTTATACTCCCTTCTCTTCCTTCTCCTTCTCTTCCCGGCTCCCCCTCCTCCTCCTCATCACCATCATCATCTGAATGTGATGAGTTCACAGTTGCAGTTGTGTTTCGTTCAGCGTAGACGGGCTTTTCTCTGCCACCCGCTCACCTGTCTCCCTGAGGTCAGCGTCTCCTGTAAACACAGATTAGAGATCGAGTGGATTGTAAACCTTAGGAAGAGGGTCGGTTGGTCAGGACCGTGCGCTGCGGCCTTCTGACATCGTCCTTTCTCGCTGAACCTTAGTGGATTGACTGTAATTTTTTTCTAGTTGGTAAGTAAAGAAATTTTAAAACTTTGTATGAGTTTGAGAAGTTTTGACATTTTAAATTCTTGGCAGCAAGTGTTTCATGTAACAAATATAAACTTAATACATTTGGAAAAATAAAACGTCCAGAATTATTCGTATTAAATAATTTAAAAATGTCCTGAACTGAGCCTCAAAAATTCACATAGGATATGACTTGACTTATTCTAGAACCCTGTTGGGTTATTTAATCTTTTACCAGCACAATGAGTATGTTTTAGGTGCTTTATAAGAAAATGATCCACCTTACATGGATTTAATTATCCAGATAAAGCTAATGACTGATGTGATGTGAAAGTTGCTACATCTTCGAAGAATTTTTTAGTGAAGGAGAAAAGTGCCCTGTTCTCAAAATGAGACGTCAAAGCTTCGTCACGTTTCCTTATGTTGTCTCGGTCCCGCAGCGCTGTCCATAACACGAGTTCATTGCAGACCTTTGGGAGTTCAAAGGTCGGAAACATCTTTTGAGGCCATTCCCTTTTCCTTTGAGTCGGTTGCCAGCCCCGCCAGCCTGTGGAGAGAAAGGGCTCCCCTAATCGAGTGTAGCTGGGTGTGTGGACACTCACAGTCATGGCTACATTTCTCTGTGGTTGGAAAATGTCGACTTGCCAAGATGCCTAATTTGTGCTTCTATATATACGAACTTTGTATTTCTAAAGTGTGGGCAGGCTTCCTGTAAGACCGGAAAAGGGAAAATCGTTTTTTTCCCCTCAGAAGTACATCTGTAAACTTTTTATTGCACAAGACTTTATTATACTTGGGTATGCAATGCTGCATCTTCACAAATTGCAGTGAGGCGGGACTCAAAAGTATTTTAGGTTTTGTGGGTTTGACTTGAAAAAAGGAAAAGAAGAAAGAAATCCTGGGATGGGGCACTTCAAACATTTGCAACATGTGTTTGGAATAAAATGCACACAGGGGGCACTGGGGGGTGTTCGCTCACAAAGGGTAGCCAGGGATGGGCTGTATATCAAGGCAAGAAATAGACCTTCAAGCTGCATGGCACGGCCATGGTGTGGTGCTGACAGGCTCGCTGCTCCAGGATCACTCGTGCTTTATAATTGGGGAGAGTGTGGGAGGGGCCGGATTTGAGAGACCTGACCTGCTTGTGCTGGAGTCAGGATAAGGGCCCTCATCGCCTGCCCAGAGATCCCACAGCAGTTTCCTTCTGCCCCTGCTCCATCCGTAGCCAGGTGTTTCAAACCACCCTCACCGCCTGCTTTCGCTGACTGCCATGCATTTATTTTTCTATCAACTCGCAAAAGCGGGTGACATAATAGTTAAAGCATTCCGGTACCCCGGCCGACACTTAACTTTTATTCTCTTCCCTGTTACAGAAAACATGTGTCTCATTGTCTCCCGTCTCACTGTGAAGAGTCAAGTTTCCTAACCGTCTCTGCGGGGGTCTTTCTGGGGAGCTCTTGGATTCACTAGTCATGTCATGTAGGGCCCCTGCTGCTTTTGTGAAAAGGGGTAGAAAGATGCCTCCTTTTCTAAAATTTCAGGTCTGTTTTACAGTTTTATAGTTGTGTGAAGACTGTTTTCCTTCTGCCCCCAACGGTTCCCAAGTGGTAATTCCTCCTGGAAAATATGATTCATTCCTCTGTGCACATGCTCTGATTGAAAACATACCACTGGTATTCTTCCTTATGTTTCCCAGCTCAGATGACAGAACTATTAGTTGCTAATTAGCAAAACCTGAAGAATTCGCTGAAAGGAAAGAAACGGAATTTTTAATTGGCTTGCGTTTATTTTCCGTGGAAAGCTGATGTGCTGAGCCCGCTTGCATTTTTGTGTGCTGAAAAAAAAAAAGTAAGTTTTTTTTTCTACCTGTCTGTCTTTATGTCAGGTGACTTTCCATACTCCTTAGAAATACATCGAAAGCGAGTGGAAGAGAAGATGTGTATTTTCCATATTTAATAGATGCACCTGCTCACATTCCTCTTCCTACTGGAGTGTCATCTGGAGACTGTGAAAGATAAAAATGCCTACAGGGCACAAATGAACAGTTTGGCGTTGAGCAAACTGCAAAGGCGGTGACAGTTTCCTGAGCACACAGCTCCATTCTTATCCAGGCTGTCTTACCTCTTTGGAGAACAGTTGATGAGCCAAGCAGGAGCGTTTTGGGGTTTTTTTTTCCCTTGAAAATTAGATTGTTTAACCAGAAAGACTGATGCTGGGTCATACTCTGGGGGCTTTGCTGGGTGTCTTGCTTCCT